CCTGAGAGCCAATTTCAGTGGTCACCTATAGACTGCGCACTGATTCTTGAGATGTAAGATGCGTGCTCGCGGATATATAAATGCATTAAAATGCAAGTGCAATGGGAAGGAGGACATTTATGCGCTCCTACTCAGCAAACAATACACATACGACACATACAACCTCCAATTCACGCAACCATACCATCCACTTTCCTCACTGCATGCACCCGTGACCGCTATCAGCCATGCTTTGTACCTGTCAAGTGCTGTCCTTTTCCTTGTGCCCAAAGCCCTGCTCACTACATGAGAGCTCTCACATCAAAGCTTCGCAGAGCTCCACACGCACAGATGAAACACCCTCTCATTCCAGCCGCCTCTGTCCCCGCTCCTGCACATTAGACACATTTCATTTCATTACAACGCCACTGGAAAAATAGAGGTGCTGCCGTCTTAAAGGGACACCTTATTTACTCTCACTCGCACTTGTGTACTCACTCACATGTGGACACGCATAGACACACGCACACACACACACACACAAACACTATCCTCTTTCTTTTTTTAAATAATAAAAGGCCAGACCAGAAGGGAAAAGTTCTAGTGGACAGACAGCTGCAGTATTTGAACACAGGGCACATCAGTGTCACAGAAGTGTACCGACAGTGTGGTTAGGACAGCACAGTGTGGCTCCACTTTTGATTTAATTAATCACAATTAATGCTTAATATAATTATATTTATAACACAGATTTATTGATTTTTTTTATTTATATATGTATATACCCCACCGATACGAAGCGTTTATGTTTTAAAGAGCTCCGCAATGCTGCATGTGGGGAGATGACGGAGGAAGGGTTTCATCGTGATGATGAGACAAGCCCTGGTTTCCGTAGCAGCGGCAGCCTTTGTTGTGCTATCTGGTGTGGGACAGGCCGACAAAGAGGAGCTAAGGAGCGTCCAGAGCAGGGTGATGGGGGTCGGGGTGTCCCCCCTTAGAGGGGTCGGGGTGACCCTCTTGACCGCTGGCCCCAGGGCAGGGACTCAGTGTGGTGGTGGCACAGGGGCACCGACAGGGCATGGGAAGAGACTTAGCCTGCATACTACAGCAGAAAGACAAGACTGACCTAACGCTAGAGGACCGTGTGTGTCTGTTTTATTTGAGACAGTGTGTGTGTATAGGACAAAGGCGGTGACCCAATGTTAGCACTGTGTGAGAGAGAGATTTAGCAGTATAAAAAGCAGGGTGACCCAAAGTTTGCAACGTGCATTTGTGTAAGATTCACACTTTGACAGCACATCACAACACAAAGATCAGATTTAGCTTGGAAGGGGGGGAGTTGGACTTAACAGTTAGCTGGAAGCACAAAGACCGAATGACCTAACTCTGGAAGGGTGTGTGGCAGAGATATTTAGCTGTCACAAAACAATGAACAGACTGGGATAATGAACATTAGCTTGGTGGGAGAAATTAGTTCTGTGGTATTTAGAGAACGCATTGTAATATGTTATTTGAATATTGGGTTTTTTCTTCTAAAACATTCGGTTTTTTTTATGTCAGTTGGTATGTTAGACCCACTTAGACAGCTGTAGTCAGGTGTGATCTTTAAGTTATTTTAAAATAAATAAAAATAATAATGTTATTTCAATTGAAGTTAATATTGTGTAAAAGAAATGTTCAACATTTTTTTCAATTGCTGAGTCCCCCAGCACCACAGTCACAGTTGTATATTTGGTTGATGGAGAGAGGAATAAGAGGAGGAAATGACTGGACAGGGAGAGCAGTGTTGTCCTGACACCAACACAGACCTCAGTGTTCAAATGAATGATGGTTTCCGACATAGAGGTGAACTCTACGGCCTGCTCCTCCAGACTAAGTACGCCAACGACACTGGTCGCCTTTACAGCAATGTTCTTCTGGGTGACTGGACAGCTGAAAGGGTTAGCACTGTTAGGTTGGTTAGGTGTGTTCGCCTCTCCAAAGCAAAGGCTATAGGCCACTCAGGGTTAGCATAAGGACGCTAAAGGCTATGAAGCGGGCCGTTTGAGGTTAGCATTAGTGTGTTTAAGGCTGGGGAGAGTCATTGACCAGTAAGGGTTAGGATAAGAGCACTGAAGACCGAACACGGTTGTAGGCCATAGGGTTCACAGTAGAACACGTGCACCAGTGTTGCTAAAGCATTAACTTTTGGCCCTGTGAACCAGGATTAGGTTAACGGAGAAATGCACAGAAAATGATACGGTTGTATACACACACACACTAACATACACTTTATTAGGGACACCTGTGCAATGTAATGCAATCCAATACAACTGCTCTACCATAAATCACTCACAGTTCTAGTATTTGTTGACATTGTCAGAATGGTGATAATTCCACTTTATGTATTAGTGAAGTCAAAGTGGGTGTTTGTGGTGTACTGGACCGCATTACACTGAAACGTGTTCTTAATATTTTGACCACCCCGTTAACATACAAAACGGCACTCAGATGTTTCTCATTAGGTGCTCAGTGAGTTTATATGTTTATAATTTATCAGTTTTGAATTATGACATTGTTGCCATAGGCTGAACTGGTCTTGTCAGTTATTTTATCAGGCTACCACCAGTGGGCAGTGGCACAAAGCTGGTGTGTATCGGGCTATACTGCATCTCTCCGTCTCTCCTTCCTTCTCTATCTATCTTTGTCTTATCATTTTGCTATCCATCTATATCCCTCTGTCCCCCCGCTGTCTCTTCTGCTCTCTTTTGCCTTCACCTTTGCCTTTTTTTTTTTTTTAACATCTGGCAATTCATCTGTCTGATTGTGTGCTTGTGTGTCTGAACTTCTGTATTTGTGTGCTGATGTGTCTGGGATGTCTGAAAGCAGAATTAATTCTTGCTAACAGATCCTCATCCGTTACTTTTCAAACTTCACCTGACTCTGCTGTACATACACATACATGTAAATACAGATTTATTATAACCCAGGTTTAGAATAATCATCTACCTAGAATTTACAAACTGTCATGTGGACATGTGTATATACATATATTTGTTTTTTAGTTAAAAATCACTCGCTAAATTATTATTCGATTTTCTGTGCCTTGGATTAAACTACAAAACCTTTTTTACTCAATATGCAGGCGCCAGTATATATCTGAAAATTCTTTAAAGCTGAAATTAAATTTTTTTTTGGATACATTTGTTAAGTTTTCAAGGATGTTTAAAAGTGTCTGTCCTGGTGGATAAGTTTAAAAATTCATCATAAAAACTTAAGAATATAATAAATAGAAACATGATCATGTCCAATTGACTTCTTTCTTGATTCATTTTCTTATGTTAATTATCTTTATATTAACTTTAACATGACAGATATGTATAGCGGAAGGAGAGCCTTGTCTGAATTTGAAAGAGAGTGAGAATAAGACTTATTTTATAATCTGAATAAGTGAGAAAGTGCCATTTTGCCGTAAGTGTCATTTCACCATTGTCAACACACGGCAGGTGCTAAGGGAAAGGGTGTGTGGCAGGTTTGATGTCGATAGGCGCAGGAGGGACACACACACATGCTGCGTCAACGGAAGACAAGCACATTGTGTTAACACTTATTAAGGAAGAGGAGACGTGCCGCCTTGAGAAGACAGTGTGTGTGATGGCGATTTGCAGAGGAAGCTGAGTGACGCTGCCTCTCTTAGCTACCTCTCACATCTCCTAAAGGTCTTTTTGTCAGCACTGATATCTTTCGTACTCAGTGTGTGTGTGTGTGTGTTGTGTGGAAGTGCGTATTTGTGTGTTGGAAAAGGCGTACTCCCATACGTTTAAGTCTTGGGGTGTGTGTGTGTGTGTGTGTGTGTCTATGTGTTCACAATGGGGGTTGTGTGTGAAAAGCCAACCAACGTGAAACAGGAATCCATCCATTTCCTGCTTTAGTTTCAGAGTGCTTGGGACAATAAACACAGTTAATTAAAATGGCTTCAAAGTTGAAGAAGTCACTAGGCTGCGAGAAAACTTCCTTTTCTCCACAATACGCTTCCCTTCTGTCATTCTCTCTCATTATATTCCCTTTCTCAATGTTTCTCCTTTTTTTGCATTTTATGTTACTGTCATTATTATTTTCATGTGATTCTTTTTTTTTTTTTAATTTTGAGGTGATTTCTTTTTTTGTTTGTTTGTTTTTTTTACTTTTTAAGGTCTCAACAAATGAACACATGCACACAGATATGTATGCATTTGAAGCCAACTCTTTCACTGAGTGATGGTGGGATCGATTGGATTTGATATTAAGTGACACATGGCCTTTGGAGTCACTAAATGCTACTCACTGACTGAAACCACCATCGCTGCATTCCAATCCCCCAGTTACTTCTGAGGCTTGTCCCTGCAGTGACACTCTCTCCTCTGTCTCCTTCGCTGCATTTCTTTCAGCCTGGATTTGCATCTTTTCCCCCAGTCATGTCACAATCTGTGTCTTTTAAGTGTTGTAATGGTTATTATTTGCTCATAAATATCCGCTGCCGAGCTCTTTGAGCCACTACCAGACCTCGACTGTGCAGAAATACTTCTGAGCTTTAATGTAATAGAGATTATCGTGCAGTGTTACGTTTAAATGGATTTATTCTTCACCTGGTAGGTTTAACAAAGTTAGTATCGGCTATTTGTCAAAGTTAAAAAATAAATAAATAAATAAAATGTCAGCATTGCATTTTTAATGACCTTCATACATGTCTTTTATAAGCATTATATCAACAACAGAGAACAAACTAAAAGAAAAACTCATTTCTGAAAAGCAGAGGAATTCAAGGGAAAAAAAAAGTACAAATATCGCCTGATAAATATGCTTGTGTAATAATAAAAAAAAAAGCCTTCATATTCTACTGCCTATTACTGATATGCTGTAATGTAATTTAGCTTTGTGTTTTTATTTTGCATTATTTAGCATTTTGTTATAAAACGGTATATGGAAATACAGTTATACAATACTACGTATATAGGTGTGTCAGTGAATCTAAAGCACAAACTTGTGTTTCTTATCCGTTTTAGGAAGGCTATGGTGTGATGGTGCTCAACCCCAACGAGAACTATTTGGAAGTGGAAAAGCCAGCAAAGTTCTCTCCCCTGCCCTCTCCTACGGAGCCCTCGGACGAACCCGCTGAAAAGAGGGAGCGCAAAGACGATAAAGAGGGCAAAAAGAAGAGAGAGTTTTATGAGAAATATCGTAACCCACAGAAGGAGACAGAGACCGAACGGATTCCCATACGGGTAAGTCAGCGAGAGGGAGGGAGGGAGGGATGGAGGGACAGAAAAGGAAGACAGGAAGGAAGGAAGTGTTTGGACAGCCGGGGCGGGAGGAGAGACTGATAGATGTTCATCAAAAACATGCATGATGGGGGAGGTGGACAGAGTGACAGTTCTGGGGTCGTAGGAGGAGGTAGGAGAGGAGACATAGGTGAGAAAATGGGCGGGAGGGATTTGGACAAGTTGGGAAGAGACAAAAGAGGCAAGAAGGTGTGGAGAGGAAAAGGGTGGGAGGTAGCTAGCTAAGGAAGCAAGGGAAGGATGTGTTAGGTAACGAGGGATGAAGGGAGGATGGAAGGCAGAGGGAGAAAGAGAGGCTCTTGTGTGGTCAGCCTGTGTGTGAAGAGGTTGGCCGTGCTCCAGTCGCCTCTCAGTGAGCAAGTGTTAACCACATGGCTACCTCCCTCTCTCCCTCTTCCTCTCCCTCTTTCCCTCTCTCTTTTTTTTTTTTTTTTTTTCTCTCTCTCAGATGGTGGGCTGGTCAATGCAGCTCTGGCCCTTCACTCTTGTTGACCGCTGGGATTATTATCTCCCTAACACACACTCTGCAAACTCACTGCAACATTCTTATCATGCTACGCTGACCGTGCACCCCCTAATCATACACACACACATGCACATGCATAAACACACACACAGCTCGAGGCACCTAGCTCAGCCAGTTTACCTTTTTTTTTTTTTTTGTGTGACGATAAAAATGGCCAAAGTGGGGAAAGACTCTCGCTCTGTTGTCCTCTTAGTAGACGTCCTGTGTTTCACCCGAGCCAATAAGATTAGTATTTTTGCTACTTCCGGAGTCATTTGTTTCTTCTACCAAAAGCTCTCATTCAGTAAGACTTTAAAGATTAAGTGCACGTCAGTCGGGTTTCATATTAGAAGAGCGTCCTCATCGATTATCTGTGTGTTAGTTTGGTTGATGGCAGCAGCGTCACGATAATGGATGGACGTTTGCATGTGTGGGTAGGTGTTTGTACATGTGTCTAAGTGTGTCCGCGTATGTCTGTGTGTGTGAAAGACGTCACTCTCTGGTGTCTGACAAGAGTTAGGGCGGCTGTGGGACTAGCGGGCGGTGTGTGAGCTGTCAACGCAGGCTTTTTTATTTTTTTCCTCATCCCCCTGGCAGTACCTTTATACACACTCTAATAAGGGATAATTAGCTGCAGTGCTATCTTACTCCATCGCTCTTCTTTGCATGTGTGTCTCATCATACAGCTGATGAAGTTACTTTACAGTATGTGACATTAAGGTTTTACTAAATGATCCATCATGTCATTTATAGTAATCGCGTCACACACTTCTGCATCTACTGTCAGGTGTGTGTTTATTTTAAACTACACAATGTAATGCTTGTTGTCAGTGAGTTTATGCTATGATTATGACTCCCAGGAACAGTTGAAAATTCATCTTGCTCAGATTATGAGTGTGTTAACACCTCTATTGAAGGTAAAACTTAAACGATCCTTGCGTCACATAATGACCTCTCCTTTGCTCCATGTCTCTTTTTCTCTGTACACAAATCTTTAATGCTCAGTAACATTCGCAGTGTAAGATTGGAAATTGTAAACCCAGGTTTCTATAAGCGACAAAGTAGCATGCAGTACTATTCATATCCAGATATTTGGCTCCACTTGCTTTCCCCATGCCTACATAATGTATGCTGGACAGGGTCAGATGCATTAAGACAAGGGCGGTATGGAGCAGTGGTGTGGCTTTTTGAGACTTAAGTGTCTCAGAAATATCGAGCAGTTAAACAGTCCTCGTGTTTCACAACTCAGCAAGATGAAAGTGAGGACACTCGACATAATGAATAACTGAAGAAAATACCACCTGACCCCACCCCAGTGCCATGTCAGATCCCTTTTTTCTGTTATTAAACTTTAAGCTATGGTAGCACATTGATAATTGATTTAGCACTCTGTGCTGCTGTGGTAGTCAGTGTTAAGGCACTTTAAAACATAGAGAGATGGATGATAAAATTTATTATGCCTGTTTTTTTTTGTTTTTTTTAACTTACAGGCTAATACAAAATTATCCTCATTAACCAGAAAAATAGGGGTCATGTAAAACGCTAAGATTTTCCAGCCAAATACACTTGTCTTTAGATGCAAGGATTGCAAAACTCGGGATAAAGATTAATGAGCAGTGAGCAGGTTGGCGCTCTGTTGGTGCCTCTTGAATTTCGACCTTTGACCCAGAAGTGAGCAGGATGTTCGCGTGTATGACCTCGCCTTTATCGTCCACGCCTCCTCCTTCACTGCGTTACTCTCCACTGCTCTGCCTCTGTCCGCCCCAGAGTAAGCTGTCACATGTGCACGCATGCAAATATGTAAAGGCACACACGTACGGGCTGACAAAAGCATAAAGGAGGTGAAGAAAGCGCTGATATAGTGCGTTTGTGTCTTTTTCCTTCAACTTGGGGTGGGCGGTGAATCAAATCAAACCTTTTTAGCAGGGTTGTTTTCATCTTTTTTTTTTTCTTCTTTTTTTTTTGCAGCACCCACCTAAGACACTCGCACTCACCAACCTTTTTTATTCTCCTACACCTCACACTCTAACTCCTGCTGAGCTGCCAGACCACCTGCACACAGGCCATTCAGAAACACACACGCTCGAAATACATGCCTCTACTTCATCATGTAATATCACTAAATCCAGCATCGCACAAAAAAATACCATAAGCCTCAACAAACACGTCTGTCTCTTTAAATATAACTGTGAGACTCATAAACTTAAATTGTACTTTTTCTTTTTTTTTTCCCCTAAATTGACTCACAAAGATTGACACACACTCACAAATACACAGCGGCCTACAGATAGAGTTGAGTTGATTAATACGCTTCCTTACACACATTAATAAGCTCTTAACTGCTTTTAGGATTCCTACTTTTTAGCCTTGGGTTCATAGTGTGCAACCTCTCAACCTTATCTAATCCCTCTCCTCTCCGCTCCTCCAGATCACACACCACTGGGCCATGTTTAGGGGGATGATGGTAGAAGAGGAAGAAAAAAGGGAGAGGACAGAGGGAGGCATGGAGGGATAGAAAGTCTGATCGGAGGGATGCTGATGAGGATAGTGAAGAGGAAGGGGGTGGGGGGTACTTTCTTAGCACTTAGCCATATAGAAGTTTGGGAGTTCACTTTACTCTGAATTTTAGCAGTAATCCAGTTAGCTATTTTCTGTCAGCCAAGCGGAGGAATGGCAGGAACAAAAGGCACATTCATGGGCTTAAGAAGCTTCCAAAGAGTTCACCCAAGGCTGGCTGGCTGGGATTAGGCCAGCAGGCCCTGGAAAGAAGAAGGGGGAAAAAAGAGCAAAGAGGACAAAAAACAGAGCTTCGCCTTTCTTTAAGCACCACTTATTTTTATAAATGACTGGAATACTTTTCTCTCTTTCTTTCTTGGTTTTTTATGTTTCTCCTTTCAACATTGTACGTTTCTTAAATGTTCAGAGAGGGAGAGATAGACAGAGAGGCCCTCACTCCAACAGCATTTTGAAGTAGCAGATTGAGGCTATTCCTTCTGTTCTTTTCCTCCCGCTATATTCAGCTTCAGTGCAACTTCAAGAATGAGAGATCTGTATGACTGAGACTGGAGGACGTTAAATACTTCCACTGTGACATATTCCTGCTTTTCCCTGCAATTCTTCATTTGGCACCATCATGCCACAATGTAGGAGAAATAAAGTGGCTCTTTACTGTGCTAATGTTCTAGTCGTAGGCATTGTTTAATTCCCTCATGTTGTAACACACACACACACACACATATCATATATATATAGATATATATGGGTTGGGGAGAGGGGGTGTCTTGCAATTTATACTTGTGTTTGTTGTACTTGAGAGAGAAGATTCTTCTGAGGATTACTGTCTCCAGTTTCTTGGTGACGGACGTGACAAACAGGAGGTCTTGTACTGTCCCTTACTGATCTATTTTAGATGCAACATATTGTGTTTCCCTAAAGAAGGCGCATCAGTTCTTTAGGTCCTGCCTCTCCCATTATTCCCAGCTGCAGCTGTCCACAGGGGCCAGCTGAGATCATTGTCCTTGTCTGTGTTTAGCAGATGATGTTTGTTTCCCCATGTTCACACTGTACTACAAACTGACCTGAGGATTTACGAACGTACATGTATTCACATCCACACACACACACACACACACCAAACTTGATTATAAACATTGACACAGGGGCACACGAACACATACACACACACTGACAGTTGTATTCGACATGGCACTACATTGTTTCGCTGTGGGACTCGATTTTTGCTCTTTGTCACCTTCACCCATTTGCCCCAATCTGTGGCCCACTAGCAATTATACAGACAGAGTTTATTTGACCTCTGATCTGCGGTCTTGCCAAGATGTGAAGCTCAGCATTTCCAAGGACAGGTAGGGACTTGATTAACCTCTGAACTTGGTCAGAGGAGAGGTCAATGACCAGGGCTAGAGTGCAGCTCACTAGCATACTGCAGAGAACAAATTGACTAGATGCCGTTTTTGTATTTCGGTGTGTATTTCAGTGTGTGATATTGAAAAATCTTTGACCTGCATGCGCGTTTATCTGTTTTTTTGAGTTTAGTCTTCATGTTTAAGAGCACAGTACAAGTACACCTTGGTGTGAGATGTGTTTTAACTGCGAGTTTATCTTATATAAGAATTCACTGTGTAAGTGAGAGCGTTTGGCTTTTGAAAGATTTAAAGGGGAGTAAGTCGGTTAGATTTTGTGCTTGTTAGTGTGCGTGAACATTTTCTGAGTATGTGTAATGTGTACTACATAACATCTGTGCATGCACACGCACCTGTGTGTGTTTGTGTGTTTGCTCAAGGCAGAACCAGTGTAGCTGGTCTCACATCCCTGCTCCCAATCTTCTAGTCAGGTCAACCATCAAACACATCCATCCTGCCCTCCCTCACACCTCCCCACCCACTGAGCTCCCTGTCTCTTTTTCTCTCTGCACACAACC